AGAATTGCCAGAAGTGACTCTGTGGAAGGAAGTGTAGTCAGGGGGCGTAGCTCAGATGGTAGAGTTCGCTAGCATGCGAGAGGTACCGACGATACACCATGCCCAATTCTTGAGTTGGATGGAAATGCTACTTGACCAGGAGCATTGAATTAGTTAGAAGTGACTTGTGAAGGAAGTGAGCGTGGTGTCAGCGGTAGCTCAGATGGTAGAGCGCTCGCTTAGCATGCGAGAGTTACCGACTGATACCCGGCGGCTCCAATTTATTTGAGTTGGATGGAAATGCTACTTATTCAGGAGCATTGAATTAGTTAGAAGTGACTTGTAGCTGTGCTGCGTTGTCAGGGGCGTAGCTCGATGGAAATATTTCAGCATGCGAGAGTGTACCGGGATCACACCCACGCCCACCTCCTATTAATTTTGAGTTGGATGAAATGCTACTATCTGTATACTAGAAGACTGTGGAAGGAAGCGATGAAAACAGGGCGTAATCGGTGATTTGCAGAGCGCTCTCGTTACATGAGAGGTACCGATCGACATGCCTCCACTATTTTGAGTTGATGGAACGCTACTTATTCAGGAGCATTGAATTAGTTAGAAGTGACTTGTGGAAGGGAAGCGGGAGTGGTGTCAGGGGCGTAGCTCAGATGGCAGAGCGCTCGCTTAGCATGCGAGAGGTACTGATCGTGATACCGACCTTAATTTATTTTGAGTTGACGGAAATGCTACTTCATTCAGGAGTATGGAATTAGTTAGAAGTGACTTGTGAAGGAGGTGGTGTCAGGGGGGCGTAGCTCAGATGGTAGATGCCTGCTTGCGAGAGGTACCGATCGATACCCGGCGCCTCCACTTATTTTGAGTTGGATGGAAATGCTACTTCTATTCAGGAGCATTGAATTAGTTAGAAGTGACTTGTGGAAGGAAGCGGAGTGTGGTGTCAGGGGGGCGTAGGCCAGATGGTAGAGCGCCTGCTCAGCATTTTCGGGGTGAGAGGTACCGATCGATACCCGGCGCCCAATTCTTACGGAGTTGATTCAAAAACGCTACTTATTGGCGAACATTGAATTAGAAGACTTGTGGAAGGAAGCGGGAGTGTGGTGTCAGGGGGGGCGTAGCTCAGATGGAAGAGCGCTCGCTTAGCATGCGGCTATGTACTGACGATGCTACCCGGCGCTTCTCAAATTTATTTGAGTTGGATGGAAATGCTACTTCTATTCAGGCGCATTGAATTAGTTAGAAGTGACTTGTGGAAGGAAGCGGAGTGCGGTGTCAGGGGGCGTAGCTCAGATGGTAGAGCGCTCGCTTAGCATGCGAGAGGTACCGGGATCGATACCCGGCGCCTCCACTTATTTTGAGTTGGATGGAAATGCTACTTCTATTCAGGAGCATTGAATTAGTTAGAAGTGAGTTGTCGAAGAAATTGGAGTGTGGAACAAGAAAACGCCAAATAAATAGGCTATTTCTTTATTTATTCGTTACGCAATAAAAAAAGTCCTGGAATTTTTTTATTGTAGTTTTCGCATACTAATAATAACGTGCTTTTTTCTAAGTTTAAAAAAATTGTATTTAATTTTTTTCCTTACTCCTATTACCAATTCTTCTTTTTCCCTCATTACAAGAAAGATTTGGTATTAATTATTTGTATTGACCATTTGTGCAAGTTCTCTGCTACGTCTAATCGAATTTTTGTTTACAGTATCGACACTCCGACACCCGAAAAGGCCGCCAGGTGGAAATTTGCTTCCATTGATGCCAACTCCAATTCGGTAAGTAGCGATATGAAAATTAAAAGAAATGCTTCGAACCGAAAACGAAACCTTCCGGCAGATGGGGATTCTTTTAGAAGTGAATGCATTACCATTCGATTTCTCTTCATACAGGTTTATCCATTTAAAACGCTATTCAAAACACGAACCAACAGAGAATGGTCTCCTCTAAACTTTCTCGTATACTCCCTAAAGATGGATCTTCACGAGCACTCCGCTCCACGCCCATTCGGTTTCTCCACGCCAAAATCTGTCGTCAATGCCAAAATCCGATGAGAACTACAGAGTCACAGTAGGAAGTTTGAATTTTTAACTTCTCTGAATATGCAAGAGCTCCATTTGGACTGCCTGGCCATAAATGCTGAAATGCGGCCGGTATATGAGGAAGGATCGAAAAAGAAAAGTTTACAAGGGAAATAAAAAATTACTTAATAAAAATAGTCAGAAAATACAGAAGGGAATTAAGAGGCATACTCGCCGATCACTTTTCCACATAATCACCAAATCTATTTAGGTATTTAGCTGAACGCAGGACCAATTTGTTTAATCTGGATTGGTAGAAATCACGCCCCTGCCCATTGAGCCAGTTCTCGGCTGCAGTTTTCACATCACTGTTTGAAGAGAACCTTGTTCCAAATAAGTGTTTGGAACCCAGATTGGGTGCCAAATCTGGGCTGTATAGAGGGTGGCTCCAGATTTCCCACTTGAACTTTGCAGCAATTCTTGAGTTTTGCGAGCACTATGGGTATTGTAATGACGGAGCATGACACCATCACTCAACATGCCAGGGCGTTTACGTCGGATAACTTCCGATGGCCCAGTGACTATTCCCTTTTTCCGAAATTGAGGGGACACTTATCTGGAACAAAGTTCTCTTCAGACAGTGATGTGAAAACAGCTGCCGAGAAATGCGGACGTGAATTCTACCCAGCCGGGGTAAACGAGTTGGTCCTGCGTTCAGATAAGTGCCTAAATATATTTGATGATGATATGGAAAAGTGATCGGCGAGTATACCTCTTAATTCCCTTTTGTATTTTCTGTCCAATGTTAATAAACAATTTTTTACTACTCTTTTACTATTCCATCCTCATACAAGCGCTCTATTTGGACTACCCGGCCATAAATGCTGAAATGCGACCTGTATAGATACGTTGGGATTCTATCTCGTTCTAGAGGAATACGGAGAATTCAGGGGGGGAGGGAAGTGCAGTTAGTGATCGAAGTGCCCATTGTTGATGAATTTGCGGTTTGCGCTGAGCGGCCCTTGAAAGACCTACTAGTTGGATGACGGGAAAAATGGAATGGTGGAGAGTTCGTGTAACTTAAATTAACCTGGACATTCATATGGCTAAATTTTACTTCAAGCAGAAGAAAAACACACCTGGAGTTAAAAAATGGAACCTAAAATTGTATCCAAATTTCACGAAAAGCATAAAATAAGCAATACAAATACCACACAATTCTTTTTTAAAAAATTTTTTCAATTATTTCTATTTATCATGAAAAAGTTCGTTAAAGCAAATTCAACTTCCAACACTTTCGGTTACTGCAGTGGGCTAGAAGGGGGGGGGGCAAAGGCTCTTATGTAGATTTGGAAGGTTGCGGGTTCAAGATTCGATTCCACCGAACATTTGC